AGAATGATGAAGTCAACATATGTACTAATGTGCTGGACACAAATGATGTATGTACGGATTGTGATGAGTTGTAATGAGCCCCTAATAAAATGATTATTTAATTAAAAAAAGAATAAAATCCAAATTTCTCATCAAAGATCTACATAATCTAACCCTGCTGTCTTCCTTGCATACTTTAAAGGATGTTTACATTGTAAGTATAATGAAATCTCAGTTGAAACCCCCCAAATGTCACCTGGAAATATAAACATGTGAACATTTCTTAAAAGTTCCCAAAAGAGTAATATCCCTACTGCATATTGTAAACCTGTAAGTAACTGAAATACTATGGTTATAGGTAGAGATATAGATCAATTAAACAGAATAGAAAGCTTAGAATTTCTCTTAATTATATATGAGTTTCAGGCACCCTGGTGGTATAGTGGATTATACTTTGGGTTGCTAACTGCAAGGTTGGCATTTCAAACTCATCAGTCCCTCTGGAGAAAGATGAGGATTTCGGCTTCTGTAAAGACTTACAGATTTGGAAATCTACAGCGGTATAAAACTATTCTGCCCTAAAGGGATGCTATGAGTTGGAAGCAAACCTATGGCAATGAGTTTGGATTTTTTATTTTAAAAATAAGAATTTGTACTATTTGTCTGTCAGTGTGTACTGTGGTGTCTTGTGAGCTGCTGTGATGCTGGAAGCTATGTCACTGGTATTTCAAATGTCAGCAGGGTCGGCCAAAGTGAATATATTTTAGCAGAGCTTCCAGACTAAGAACAGACAATTCTATTGGTAGTCTCAATAATTTATCCAATGGTATAAAATTTCACATACTGTTGAGAAGAGGAAATTATTCAAGTGTAGGCTAGCTATGAATCACATTACATGTATTGTTGACATGTACAGATTAAGTCTTCAGTGACTGGACACTATTTACTCTAACAATCACCCCTTGTCAACCTAATAACTACCTCTTTAACCATGCATAATCACTAAAGACAAGAATAAAATTGCACTTGCTCCTAACATGATACAGCTAACATGAAAATCAGAGAAAAAAGCACTAACCCCACTTTTACTTTATATTTTATAAGTGAACAAAGCACAAATATTTAGTGGATACATGCAAATAGGAAGTCCTCAAAAGGAAGCCCTCATGTCTATAGCAGGTCATGTGGCCATTGTTGGTATTTAGAACTACCCTCTACCACTACTAGTGGTTATACATTGGGCTGCTGACTGCAAGGTCAGTAGTTCAAAACCACTAGATGGTCTGAAGATGAGAGAGACTTTATACTCCCCTAGAGTTAGTCTTGGAAACCCACACGGGCAGTTCTAATCTGATTTACAGAGTCGCTATAAGTCTTGTCTGTCAGTTTATCATACTATGGTGGTTTGTGTGCTGCTGTCATGCTGGAAGCTATGTCACTGGTTTTTCAAATGGCAGCAGTCACCCAAAGTGTAGAGGTTTCAGCATAACTTCCAGACAAAGAACAGACAATGAATGACTCAGCTGTCCACTTCGAAGGAAGTAGCTACTGAAAACCTTATGCGGAGCTTTGAAACCTTGTCAGATACTGAGAGTCTAATGTAGAAGGGAAGCAAAACATTGTTGGGACAGTGCAGGAGGATGGGTCCCTTGGTTTGGAGGAGAAGCTGCTGTCTTGCTCTGGGTGGAGTCGCCCATGGTGATGTGAGTCTGGTGCAGTCTGTAGGAGTGGTGCCATCGAGATCTTCATGTGCTGATGGGGCACGACTCAAGGTACAGAGAAACAGCTGCAAACACTTACTAATGATCAGAACTTGGAATGTGTGAAGTATGAATCTAGGAAAATTGGAAGTCATCAAAAATGACATGGAATATGTAAAGATCAATATCCTAGGCATTAGTGAGTTAAAATGGATGAGTATTGGTGCTTTTGAATAAAAAAAAATCTATGATTGACTGGCATATGATTTATATATGCCAGGAACGACACAAACAAGAGGAAAGTTTTGCATTTGTTGTCAGAAAACTGTCTTAAACTAAGATAACTGATAAAAAAAATTCAAATCTCGAGTAGCAATAGTGAAAGATTCTACAGGCAAAATACTAAATGATGCAGGAAGTATCAAAGACAGAGGGAAAGAATACAAAGAATCACTGTACCAAAAAGAACTAAACCACATTCTACCATTTCAGGAGGTAGCATATGAGCGAGAACCAATGGTGCTAAAGGAAGAAATTCAAGCTGCAATGAAAGCATTAGAGAAAAACAAGGCTCCTGGACTTGACTGAATACCAATTGAAACGTTTCAAGAAGCCAATGAAGCACTTATTACTCTATGACAGGAAATTTGGCCAACTGACGGAAGGGATCCATATTTGCACTCATTCCAAAGAAAGATTACCCAAAGGAATGCTTAAACTTTAGAACAATGCCACGGATATCAAATACAAGTAAATTTTTGCTGAAGATTATCCAACAACGGTTGCAGCAGTGCATTAATGATACTGCTAGATGTGCAGGCTGGATTCAGAAGAGGACATAGAATAAGGGATAACATTGCTGATGTCAGATAAATCTTGGCTGAAAGCAGAGAATACCAGAAAAAATGTTAACTTGTGTTTTATTGACTATGCCAAAGCATTCAACTGTGTGGGTCATAACAACCTATGGATGACTTAAGAATTGGAATTCCAGAATACTTCATTGTGCTCATGCAGAAATTGTTCATGGACCAATATGTAGTTCTTCGAGCAGAAAAAAAGGGAATGCTATATGGTTTAAAATCGGATAGGTGTAAGATATGATAAAATAATAATTTATGAATTATCAAGGGTTCATGAGGGAGGAGAGAATGGGGAGGGAGGGGGAAAAAAAAAGAGAAATGAGGAGCTGATTCCAAGAGCCCAAGCGGAAAGCAAATGTTTTGAGAATGATGAGGGCAACAAATGTACAAGTGTTCTTTACACAATTGACAAATGTATGGATTGTGATAAGTTGTATGAGCCCCCAATGAAATGATTTTTAAAAAATCAGACAGATAGGTGTGTACATGACAGGGTCGTGTCCTCTCACTATACTCAGTCAATCTGTATGCTGAGCAAAATCAGAGAAGCTGACTTACACGAAGAAAAATGTGGCATCAGGATTGTTAGAAGGCTTATTAGCAATCTGAGAAATACAGATGACAACCTTGTTTGCAGAAAGTGGGGAGGACATGAAGCACTTGCTAATGAAGATCAAGAATTACCGACTTCAGTATGCATTACAACTCAATGTAAAGAAAACTAAAATCCTCACAACTGGACCAATAGGTAACATGATAAATTGAGAAAAGGTTGAAGTTGTCAAGGATTTTGTCTTGTTTGCACAATGTTCATGGAAGAAGCAGTCAAGAAAAAAAACTGCCACTTTGCACTGGGTAAACCTGCTGCCCAAGACCACTTCTGAGTATTGAAAAGTAAAGATATTACTTTGAGGACTAACATGCACTTGTTACTTTCAGCTGTCTCATATGCATGTGAAACTTAGACATAGAATAGGAAGACAAGAATCAATGCACTGGAATTGTGGTGAAGACTATTGAAAATATAGCACGAACTGCTAGAAGAACAAACTGTTCTGTCATGGAAAAAGTATGGACAGCGTGCTCCTTAGAGCCAAGGATGGCGAGACTTGGTCTTACATAGTTTGGTCATGCTGTCAGGAGAGTGCGGTCCTTAGAGAAGGACAACGTGCTTGCTAAAGTAGAAGGGTAATGAAAAAGAGGAAAACCCTCAAGGAGATAGAATGGCACTCTGGCTGCGACAATGGACTCAGGCATAATAACAATTGTGAGAATGGCACAGGACTACACAGTGTTTAGTTGTTGTAAGGTCGCCATGGGTCAGAATTGAATCAATGACATCGAACAACACATAAGAATTTAGACTACGATACAGGACACACTACAAATTAGTGAATAAATGGTGTGGGGGCAATTGAGAAAAAAATAAAAGATGAAACTCTACTTCACTTATTATACACACACATACACAATATTAAAGAACTTACTCACTGCCATCTAGTCAACGCTGACTCATAGTGCCCCCTGTGGGTTTCTGATATTGTAATTGTTTATGAAAGTCGAAAGCCCAGTCTTTCTCCCTAGGAGTTGCTTGTGGTTTCTAACTGCTGACCAGGCAGATCACAGTCCGACCTGTAACCACTACACCACTAGGGTTCCATACTGTTTTCGTAAAAATCAATTTTTAATTTTAAGAACCTAAGAAGACTGAATATTTTTACAGAAAGGAAGTGGGGGATACATTTTCAAGTATGAGATCAAAAGGAAAGAATAGAATGTATATTTAAAAAAAAAACCCAAACTACTTATACAGTAAAAAGCAAAATAAACCAAGTCTAAAGGTGAGTCAGGAACAACATCTGAAAGAGAAATACATGTCACAATCTTCTAGAAATTTTATAATACATAGACTTCAGGATATCCACTTAGAATGCTCAGACACTCTTAAGTTTTCCAGTTTCTGGTTAGAACCAGAGTAACCTAGCTCAATGACCTTAATGAGTGAGTTATCCAAGTACTTAATCTCTCTGATATACATGTATTTGTTGAGCTGTGCAGTTTACAGATGGTAAAGTCTGACTTAACCACTTTAACACTGTCAAAAGTGAATAAATGCATTTGATGGTTATTACCTTAAAAGTGTACTAACAAATCAAAAACTGAAAGTTTTCTCTGCTTTGACAGGAATTGGCTGCTTGTGAAAACATGGTAGATGCAGTGAAGTTAACAGTACCAGGTAAGGTGTTTTCTGGTATTTTCAGAGATAGAAAAAAACAAAACATGCATAATTTTATTTGGATATTTGGAAGTTACATAAAGAAAATGACAACAAAACCCATCTGTTTAGGTATAAACTTGATAGTTTTATCAGTGTTCTAGTATCCACCCACCCACAATTCTTTTTTTTTTTGATGAAATCAATACTTAGGGCTGTGGTTCTCAACCTTCCTAATGCCATGACCTTTTTTTTTTTTTTGCCGTGACCCTTTAATACAGTTCCTTATGTTGTGGTAACCCCCCAATCATAAAATTATTTTCATTGCTTTCATAAGTATAATTTTGCTACTGTTATGAATCATATGAATCATATCATATTTACATATGAATCATATGTAAATATCTGATATGCAGGATGTATTTTCATTGTTACAAATTAAACACAATTAAAGCATAGTGATTAGTCACAAAATAATATGTAGATATTGTGAAATATTTATTTCTAATGACAAACACATGAAATTTTGTCTTGAAGCATGGGTAAGTCTTAATGCCGAGTACTCATATGTAGGCGTATCTGCATGTGGGTGGACCCGCCTGGAGATGGATAGAGTGGTTCCTAAGACCATCGGAAATATGTTTCCGATGGTCTTAGGTGCCCTGTGAAAGGGTGATTCAACCCCCAAAGGGGTCGCAACCCACAGGTTGAGAACCGCTGACTTAAGGGCTCTCACCCCTTTAGAGGTGCGATATTAAACTCACTGTCATGGAGTCAATTCTGCCTCATAGCAACCCTACATAGTGTTTCTGAGGTTAACTCTTTTTGGGAGCCGATACCCTCTTCATTCTCCTGCAGAGTAGCTGGTGGGTTCAAACGGCTGATTTTGTGGTTAGCAATGTAATACTTTCCTGATAGTGGCACCAGAGTTCCATACAGCTTCCAGAGACCCCCCAAAATCTTCAAAATATAGAATGAGAAGTGTTACTGTCTCAAAAAGAGGTGCATGATTTAACATCTCTTACACTGGCAGTAAGCACCCTAGTGTCATAATAGGTCAAACATTAGACTGCTTAAACAGCCAGGTTCAAACTCGCCAGCTGCTCCAAGGGAGAAAGATGAGGTAGACTGCTTCCATATAGATTTACAGCCCAGGAAATCCTGTGGGGCACCTCTTCTCTATCCTATAGGGCCACTATGAGCTGAAGTCAATTTGATGGTAGTGGGTTTGGGTGTGGTTTATGTTGGTAGTATCATAATAGGATGAAATTGATAAAAGAAAAATCCCAAGATAGTTCTAAAATATTTACTTCATTTTGATAGCAATATTAATGGGATAGTCTAGTGTTCTAAAATAAACTTTTTAGATAAGGGAGATAAAGATTAAGAGGATAAATTAGTTTAGTTTATAAAATGTTATTAAATCCTAGGAAAGTGAGAAGATAATTCCTTTAAAAAAATCATTTTATTGGGGGCTCTTACATCTATCACAATCAATACATACATCCATTGTGTCAAACACATTTGTACATATGCTGCCATCATTTTCTACTTGAGTCCTAGATATCAGCTCCTCAGTTTTTCCCCTCTCCCACCTTCCCTCCCTCATGAACCCTTGATAATTTATTAAAATTTTTTCTCATGTCTTACACCGACCACTGTCTCCCTTCACCCACTTTTCTGTTGTCGATACCCCTGGGAAAGGGTTATATGTAGATCATTGTGATCGGTTCCTCCTTTCTCTCCCCGTCTTTCGCTTACCCTCCTGGTATTGCTACTCTCATTATTGGTCCTGAGGAGTTTATCTGTCCTGGACTCCCTGTGTTGCGAGCTCTTATCTCTACCAAAGTACATGCTCTGGTCTAGCCGAATTTGTAAGGCAGAATTGAGGCCATGATAGTGGTGGGGAGGAAGCATTAAAGAACTAGAGGAAAGTTGCGTGTTCCATCAGTGCTATTCTACTCCCTGACTGGTTTTCTCTTCCTTGTGACCCCTCTGTAAGGGGATGTCCAATTGTCTACAGATGGGCTTTGGGTCTCCACTCCACACTAGATCATTGGTCTTTGATGCCTGATCCCATCAACACTTGCTGATCACACAGGCTGTTGTGCTTCTTCCATGTGGGCTTTGTTGGAAGATAATTCCTTGTAATAAACTTAATACATTTTACCAAGGAGATAAATGGTTTTACTACAATATTGGGCAAGAGATCCATAGCAAGCTTTGAAAGAAAGGATATTCTGGAGGTCTTTTGGACCAGGCCCTACCATTGCAATCTTAGTGCTTTGGTCAGAAATAGAACTCTTTGATCTGCATGGACCATGGATCAATCATGTGATATGACAATCATATGATCTTACACATGATAATAACAGAATTCTATCTTGTTGTTTTAATGGAAATAATAAGAAATGTAAGGTTGGAAGTAATGGACATGATGAAAACAGCACTCTAACAAAACTGTGTTACTACGCTGTGATAAAGTTCCCACATATAGTTAGGAAAATATTGTACAGGGTAATATATGACAATTAATCTTAAAAACAAAAATAAGTAAAAATATTCTTATTTAGCACATTCCATCTTTTTACCTTAGAACTTCAGTATATCTTTGAATTGCAGTTACTTCGTGATATCTTCTGTCCTGTTTGCTCATATTGGGATTTATCTCATATGTATTTTGTTATTGGGGTTGGACCTCTTGAATTTTTGTTTATATGCCTTCCCGTTTTTCAGTGTATGAAACCCAGAATTGATGAATATATATATATAGACAATAAGAGTTTCTGGGGGGTACAATGTTGGTGATAGGCAGGGGGCGGGGAGGGAGCTGATGTCAAAATGTTCAAGAAGGAAGAGAATGTTTTGAAACTGTGGTAGCAATTGTATAATACTGCTTGATGTGATTGAACTATGGAACAATATCCATATTAGCTTCCAATAAAATGTTTTTTTTGGGAAAAAAGGCTGTATACTAGTGTCGGGGTAGATGAAATATTTGATGAACCAAGCTATATTCTTACCTATTACTGTAAACTTTTTGACTGTATGCAAATTTATTATTTTAGATTTACTCAGGGATGGCTTTGGAGAAAATCCTCTTTTCTACTGTCTGATTGCTGAAATACACTATCAACATAATACATCAGGTAAAGTATATGTTATTTGTCTCATTAAATCTACAGTATGTTTTCCCTACTCTGCAAACAAACTACAAAAAAGTTTGACAGGATATAATGACAATTAAGCTGGGTCAAGAGTATTAAGAATATAAACCTTTTTTGATTTTTTGAGGCATAACCTATGTTTGTATAGGCATAGGGAAAAAGCTGAAGAATATACTACTCAACACTGTTAAGAAGTCCTACCTCTTTAAGTTTCTATTTTAAGGGACTTAAACCCTCTACTTTATGTATTTGTGTATTGCTTGAAATTTTGTCTCAAGACCATCTTACTTTAATTTTTTAAATACCCAGATTCCGCGGGGGGCGGGCGGGGTGGTGGTGGTAGAAATACATTCTTAGATGCAAAGCATTAACTTTTGTACCCTCTCTTGTTTCATCTTGGTACAGTGACCGTTGGATTTGCCATGTACTACTTTACATATGACCCGTGGACTGGCAAGTTACTTTACCTAGAGGATTTTTATGTCATACAAGCTTACCGAGGTCAAAATACATTTAGTATTACTTATAAATACTTTTAAAATTGTAGTTTTAGTATAAATGTGGTATTTCAAGTTAGTTTATGTAATTCTATTATATTTTGAGTCTGATATTAGTTATCCTCTTTTCCATTGCCTGATTGTAGAGGTACACTATCAACATAAAACATCATTATATTACCTTACCAACCACAGATAACAAAATACTTTAAAATTATTTCTCATTAGCAACAGTTAAGCTACCACAGCAATACTTTTAAGAAATGCTTTGGTGTTTGGGGTTAGACTAGAAATGAATGTGAAATATAGCATATAATAAAATGATAATGATAGAAACTAATTTTCTTTTCAGTTACATTTCAGGTAAACTCCAAAATCTTTTTGATAAAATCTTTGGAGGCATATTCCAATTATGAAAAAAGAGATATGAAAACCATTAATATTTAAACACACTATATTAAGGATATATAATTATTAGCTGCAGAGCTCTTGTGTTTTAAACTAAAGCAAATAATCTAAGTGAGATTTTCAACTTATTGTTTTCATTTTGTATTATTTGTTTAAAAGGTCTTGGTATTGGAGCTGAAATGCTGAAGAGGCTAAGTCAGGTATTCCCAAAATTAGCATTGATATTCTAGCTCATCATCAAATATGATTATTTAACAGCATAACAGGTCATTTATCTCATCATCTGACCACAACCCCCAAATTCACTTTTAACTTTTTATTCAAGTTAAACTGTCTTTTCACATTTTAATACATACTATGATTTATATTAGTCAAAATTTGATTTCTATGTAATCCCCAACCACAATATATTTTGGGGGTATGGAGGCAATTAGAAAGTGATTCTACACTAAGGCATGAGATAAATATAAACACAAGACTCATGTGTTTTGGGAATATATAGAACATATGTTCTTTTAAGTAAACTTATCCTGTAACAAAAAGAAAAATAAAGTCAAAAGAAAAACTTTGCAAATAAGTTTTGGATTTAAAAATTTTAATGTGCATAATGGGGACTTTTGGTTTTAAGCTATAGAGAAGTATGAAACATAATTATGAGGAGACTTCAAAACATTATGGGAAGGGTCCATTATCTTTCAATTCCATTTGTCATGAAGTCCCCTTATATTTCGAAGTATTTGGTACACATACCACTTTGTATATAGTAGACTTTCTATGAAATGAATGTGTAAATGAAGACTGTGCTTTGAAATAATAATTGTGTTTTCAAACAGATAGCCATCAAAAGCCAATGTAACTGCATGGACTTTCTTGTTGTCATCTGGAATCAGGCTTCTATTGAATATTATACTCGTCGAGGGGCTTCAGACCTTTCCTCCGAGGAAGGCTGGCATCTGTTCAGATTTAACAGAGAAAAACTCATCGAAATGGCAAGTGGAGAGTGACAAATGAGACATAATAACTCATCTCAACAAAGGCCTGAACATTTAACTGTCACTGAAGTCCAACAATTTGACTTTGAATGCTACACAATACAATAAGTGATCAAAACACTGATTTGAGCAGACCTCTTTATTTTGTAACAGATTTTCCAGATATAGTAAACTCTCCATCGCTCAAACTACTATACTAATGGTTAGTAGCAGTATTGTTGCAAAAGAACAGATAACTCAAAAACCACTTTTATGTGGCTTTGACTTATTTTTTTCACCTATCATATTTCACCAAATTTAAGACAATTATTTTTTCCAACATTTTAACATCTGAAATCAAGATAAATGTAATGATCAATGAGAAGTATTTCCTTTCTTAGAGGTAAACACTAGTATCTTAGATGTAGGAAAATGTGAGTACATTTGATTGTTCACAGATCTAAAATACTAAAAATATATTTCAAATACCAAAGTTAAATTCTTAAGAACTCATATATGAAAAACTAATAAGTGAATGGGTACATACCTTGAAGAGCCAAATACCACTGCTTCCTTTATAGGACTCAAAAAGTGAGTTGGGAGCAGATATGAAGGGCTTTATATGTCATGCTAAGGAGTTCTCATTTGATTAAACAGTCAATGAGGACAAACCATTGAAGATTTCAAACTATTCTGGCAACAATAAAACAGATGGTGTGTTAGTCCAGGTAGACTAGAGAAACAAATCCAGAGACAGTCATATGTGCACAACAAAGAGCTTTATATAAAAGAGCAATTATATATTAAGAAAACATCCCAGCCCAATCCAGATCAAGTCCCTAAGTCCGATATTAGCCCACATGTCCGACACCAGTCTGTAAATTCCTCGTCAGACTCACGCAACACATGTAATGACTCTGAATGCAGGAAGATCACAGGCCAGTGGGTGGAAAGTCCTGTGGATCCAGTGGGTGGTGGAAGCATCTCAGTGCTGGCTTGGGTCTCTATGTGGCTCCTCCAGCTCCAAGGCTCTGGCTCCATCATCCTAGCTCCCTCTGGCTTGTCAACAGGAATGTCAAGCAGACAGAGTGGGTCTGGCCTCCAGTGAGCTATTTATCGCCATAGTGCCTCTGAGTGAGGTCATCAAGGTGCGACCTGATTGACAGGCTAAACCCCACCCCTTCACTCTTAATAGTCTCAAGTTGCACACCAGATAATATAACTACCACAGATCACCCACCCCTTGTCAATTTGACATGTTCACATAACTCTTTAGCCATACACATTTTCAAACAAACAATAAAACCATATCTATACCTAATAGAACAAAATTAAAATGCACACTGTATGACCAGATCAATACCAGGCAGGCTTCTAGCAGCAAGTGGCCTTGAATCTCCCACACATACACCTACGGAGCGGACCAGAGCTGGCTATGTAAAGCAGCTTCGCAAGTTTTTTTTCCCTTTCTTTTACTCACAGCTCGTTTTGGTCATGCCTGTTTGGCTCAGTGCCCACTTTGTTCTCGGCCTGCGGCTCTGCACCCAGCACGAATACACCCGGAACCAGGAAGACACCTTACATTCCAGAAATCCAGACATACCTGTATCTCCCAACCCCTGACTACTTTACCTTATATGGACTCAAGGCAGCCTAGTTACAAGTTCCCCGGCTATATAAACACCATTCCTACAGTCTGGCGTGTGACTCCCTGGGCCAGACACTGTGGACTGTGGGACTTCGCCTAGGCTGGGTTCTTCTCCCCAATAAAGCCTGCTTGCTCTAATTCGACTGATTTGGTCTCTGGCGCCTCTCGACTACCTTACACATACAATTAAAAAATGTGCCACCCTCATTTAAACATAGCATTCTACAAGTGAACAAAACAAAAAATTTTATACTTATATGAATACCTACACCATAATACTGTGAACATATTCCCCTAGCTGTGTAAGTTTATAAGCCAGCCACTTCATGCCTTTACACCCCTAATTTTGGGTATCCTGCCCACTTACATCAACCAAGTGCTCTCAGGAGATAATCCTAATCTTTGAAGTGAATAATCTTCATTCCAGTTGGAACCTTTTGAAGTCTGCATCCATAAGTAAAGTAAAAAAATCAGGATAGCCCATCCATAAAGTCAGCAGCAATATGCACCCGTTCACAGGCTCAAAATCTTCTCTTCATCTGGTGGGATTGTGGTCAACTCAATGTGGGCTGCCTCACTTAGCCTCATCAGGGTTCCCATTGGCTGCCTTGCCTTTAGACTATGGGCCCCATCACAAATTCTCAACAACCCTAGCCTCCCTCCTTGTGCTAGGTCATGAACTTCAGATAGTCAACCCATTTCTGTCTTCTCCTCTAGTCCCTGTGAACCACGTCCATGGGTGTCAGTGGCCAGACTCAACCCATCTCTTTAATGCTGCATTTCTCTCACTTCCACTCAACAAGCAGACCCAGGTGGTCACCTAGCAAGCATTTCAGCCTGCCCACAGGCTCCCTTTAACAATTCAGTCCTACAGCGGAGAGTTCCATGTTCCAAATTATTCCAACCTCAGGCACAAACTACTAGTTCAAAATTCAAAAAGCCAGAGTTCCTTTTCTCTTCAAACTGTCAACAGACCCCTAGGCAAGTCTCTCCACCTTCTAATGTCCTGACCACTCAAGATACTGGGTGGGGCTTATCCTTTTAGAGCCTTCTTTGTAGGGGTGTCCTAACCTATTTAAATTCCAATTTAAAGGCAAAAGGCAAGTCGTCTTACAAACTCTCTATTTTTACTTCCCAATAACCATTTGTATCAATCATTCCATCAATAACAATAGGCAGAAGAAAACCTAATAGAGCCAGATCCTAAACTCAATCTTAAAACAATCAGTTCTATCCTAATCTAAACTATTCCAATGATACAAAATATGGCCTTAGACCTGACTGCATCAAGCCAGGGTGGGGCCTTTTGTCAGCCATTCTGACCTTCTGTTAAAGCCACATGGTCTCTGAGAAATTCAAGATGCAAATGTTCCACCTGAGCTCCAGATTCACATTTCTCACAATCATTTTCACCAGACAGAATTAACCAAAGATAATTTCTAGAACTCAAAACTTTAAATTCTCACATTACTTCCAGAAAATAACCCAGTAAACTGCAAGGCCATTATCTGACCTCTGGCTAGCCAAAGAAGAGAAATTACAGAAGTTAAACCAGTGTCTACATTCCATCTTCACGATTTGTTTCTCTAGTACCCCACTCCCAAGGTACCATAATGTGTTAATCCAGGTAGACTAGAGAAACTAATCCAGAGACACTCATAGATATACAAGAAAGAACTTTATATAAAAGAGTAATTGTATATTAAGAAAATATCCCAGCCCAGTCCTGATCAAGTCCATAAGTCCGATATTAGCCCACATGTCCGACACCAGTCTGTAAATTCCTCTTCAGACTCGCGACATATGCAATGATGATGAATGCAGGAAGATTACAGGCTAGTAGGTGGAAAGTCTTGTGGATCCAGTGGTAGTGGAAGCATCTTAGTGCTGTCGTGGGTCTCCATGTGGCTCCTCCAGGTACAGGACTCTGGCTCCATCAGCCTAGCTCCCTGTGGCTGGTCAACAGAAATGTCAAGCAGACAGAGAAGGTCTGACCTCCAGTAAGATATTTATCTCCATAGGGCTTCCAAATGTGGTCATCAAGGTGCAACCTGATTGACAGACTAAAGTCTACCCTGTCACTCTTAATAGTCTCATATTGACACCAGATTATATAACTACCACAGATGGATAGCAGACACTGTATGTTAAAGCCAACATTTATTTCCAAACCCTTGTCCCTTGCCTTCCTCATAGAAAAAAATCTAATCTTCCTTGAGCTAAATGTGAGTCATGATGGAGATAAAGAAAAAGTGTGCTAAATGGGTTCTCAGATGATTTGGTTTTTGATAGGCTAGAATCATCCTATACACCATCTCTCCCCTGCTCCTTCCTACCTTGAATGTTTATGCTCTCCCTGGAGGTAAAATGACCATCTTATGACCCTGAGGTAAAATACCAAATATTATGTTAAAGAGAGCAGAGGGAAGAGAGAGAGAAAGTCTAGATTCCTGACAAATGCAACAGGTCAGGCTTTAAGTGCACCATTATTTAAGACACTGTAAATTGGTTTTCTGTTTCTTGCAAGCAGAACACATTTTCAAATGACTGAGATTAAACAGACTAATCAAGTGAGGCAAGGAGATTAGCCAGGGAGGTGAAGATGAAGAGTTAAACAAGAACAATGTCAGATATAGAAATGTAGAATAGATTGAGAAATAAAAAGAGAGAAGAAAAGGTAATTTAGTTTTGGGTATATAGACAATGAAATATATGAGGTGTAACATGATATAACTGGTAATTAGAAATACAGGTCTCGCAACTCTGGAGAAATAAGTAAACGGGATTTAAATAAAGATGGCAAAAAAAGATGGCATAAATGGTGGCTGAAACCAATGGTGTGTGTTCAGTGAAACAGAGTGCATTTAGAATGAGAAATGCATACTAGGAATGAAACCTAAGCAGCATTAGCATTTAAGGAAGAAGAGCAGGAGAACAAGACAATGAAGAATGACAAGAGAAACAATGAAAGAGCAAAGGTAGGGGTGGGTGCCAGGAAGGGAGGGGTCAAGAGTCAACAGTAACCAAAAACTCAAGTAAGTAGGGGGGCCAAGTTGTTGCAAGTGAAAGGAATTGAAAGTGATGAAGTAAGAAAGTGACAATGTTTAAAGAAGTGCAATTATAGGAAGAGGAGAGAAAAGAAAGGTCAAGTGGAAGAGGCTGACATAAGAAAAGGTTACTTGTGTGTTGTTTTTAGTTAAGGAATTGAAATTAGAGAGTGAAGAAAAATAGAAGGGAAGAAAGAAACCAAAGGTTGAAGATAAAGCAGGATGGATTATAATCCTAGAAAACAGTGTTTGGGGAGCCTGTGCAGATTATAGTTAAAAAACTCATTGGCACTGAACTGATTCCAACTCAAAGCCACCTTCTAGTACAAAGCAGAAGTGCCCCTGTGGGTTTCCGAGGCTGTGAATCTGTAGGGGAATAGAAAGCCTCATTTTTCTCCTTGCAAAATGGC